TATTTATATCCCAAAAACGTATGAAATGAGAGCCCCTTTAAAGAATTTAGTGAGAAAGGGCACAAAGTGGATATGGTCGAAAGAATGCGAGGATGCTTTTAAAAAAATAAAAAAACTGTTTATTAGCAGACCTATCGTTGGTGCATTTCGACCCCAAGAAGAAAATGATTGTAGCAGCAGATGCTAGTAATGACAGACTAGAGGCAGTATTGCTACATAAACTTGGACGGATCTATAAAGCCAGTAGCACATGCCTTGAGAATGTTACTGCCCGTGGAATGAAAATATAGCCAAATTGAAAAAGAGAGTTTGGCAATAATCTTCGCTGTAAAGAAATTTCAGATTCATATATGGAAACAGACCACAAACTGCTGTTAACAATTTTTGGTTCTAAAAAAGGTATACCAACTCACATGGCAAATCGACTACAGTGTTGGAGTATAATTCTATTGAATTACAATTTCATAAAAAAAAAAGCTAGGTCACGCCAATGGGTTGTCAAGGTTAATACCGAAATATACGGAACCACTGGAAGAAACAGTAATATCGGCGCTGAGAGACAAAATGAATTGTCAGGTCTGTTATGCAATACCATTAGAGAACTACCGGTTACTCTAGATGATGTGAAAAAAGCAGCGGAAAATGATGATTTCATTAAGAAAATGAAAAAGCAAGTCTGGTTGAACGAGAAAACAGAAAAAGGAATGAGTGTGTCACCTTTTTTAATATGTGATCAGGTATTACTTTATGCAGACAGAGTTGTAATGCTGTGTACTTTACAGAAAAACTTCTAAAAGAATTTCACCCTGGTCATCCAGGGATTTCGCGAATGAAATCTCTATTGGCCGAGGATGGACCAGGACATAGAAAATGTGGTGAAACAGTGTAAAGGATGTCAACTGGCAGCAAGGGATCCACCTGTAAAGATTCAACCATGGCCAAAGACAGATGTCCCATGGACTTGACTGCATATCGACTATGCAGGACCTATAAATGGATCGTATTACCTGATTGTGGTAGACAGTTTCACTAAGTGGCCAGAAATTGTTAAGTGCAGACATCCAATTGCGACAAATATGATAAATGCCCTTAGTGAAATTTTTAGTCGTTTCAGACTCCCTAAAACTTTAGTCAGCGACAACGGAATGCAGTTTACAGGAAGTGAATTCAAGAAATTCTGTACAGCATTGTCCATTGATCACGTGACAACACCAGTTTATCATCCAAGATCGAATGGACAGGCAGAAAAATTTGTGGACACATTTAAATGAGCCTTCAAGGCGTGGACATGAATGAACAGAGTATTCACAAATTTTTGGCAGTGTACAGAATCACGCCAAACCCGAATACGAAGTCAGGATTATCGCCAGCAGAGTTAATGTTTGCAAGAAGAATATGCTCTGTTTTCGACAGGCTGTTGCCTAGTCTGGTGAAGAAAACTGCGAAGAAACAAAACTACATGATGAAAGTATATAAAGCCAGGTGATAAAGTTTACTTTAAACCCTATTTTTTGAATGGGATCCTCCTGCTGAACTTCTCAGAAACAATGACACTGCTTTTCATAGTAAACATTCAAGGAGTTTGTAGATGGGTGGGAATCCATATCCGTTTCTACTGTGTGCCAGTGTAAAATGAATTGCTGTGAGGAAACAATGCTCAGTGATGGAAGCTGTATATTGGCACAATATTACACCCAAAGATGACCTGTAACCTTCCATTGCACCCTACCAAAGGGATTTACTGTTATAGAGAATCCAAGCACGAGGTATTGATAAAACACCTCCACCAAAGCACTAAGGTGAATGATTGACATATAGGTTAAGAGGCCATGTATGGGTAAAACTCCTCAAAACTGATGTACAACTCCATATCAAGTGGGACATGTTACAGGGATTAGAAGCCCATATGCAATTTTTGTTAATGGGTTGCCATGTGAGGGATCTACGCCTCTTTGTCAGTTCAAACACATCAACAAGTGATGTTGACAGCAAGTCCTCTAACAATGAGGGACTGGTCAAAATAAGAGATGCCTTGAGTATGTACTCAGAAGAAAACTACACTCAGCTTAGTGGAAATATATCTGATGTTCCTTTGGGAGGTGATTCATTAGGTGTGGAGACAGTAGTTGTTTCTTTGAGAAGAAGCACAAGGCTTAAGAGACCCATCCCTGGTTGTCACCAGTGTGATCATGACATCAGGGAGGAGTGTGGCGAAAGAGAAAGTCACTTACTGAGAAAAAGGGCACGTGTTCTGTACAATATGCTGAAGACAAAATAAGCAAAGTAGAAACCACTCAAATGCAGGTGTTGCCATAAATGCATCTCGTATATGCTAGAATTGTGTGTCCTTTACAACCTGGCGACCATTGAAAAAACTGTTCTGTTGACAAAAGCGGTTGGTGTTCTTGAATTGAAAAGTCGTTTATTTTTCTACCTCATCTGTTGGCTTGTGGGTTGGATTTCTGACCATTTATGTGTATTGGGATTTGTGACATTGGACCTGTGATTCATAATTTCAACATTTCTTTCTGTCCTTGGATCTTAAAGTTTGGACTTGTGATTTGTTTATTTCATTGTGGAATTGACCTGCCATATTATTTTTTGAACAATATTAGGTTTGTTTGAAGAAAATTGGCAAAGTTTCCTTCATGCTCAAAAAAAAAAAGCAAACAAACAAAAAAAACAGGACAGTTTTTCCTTGACACTACTATTATTTTATACTACCTTTACTCTTGGCAATGTTTATTGTTTAAAAAAGCAATGATTAGAATTTTAATAGAAGGCAAAGATGTGAAAATGAATTTACACATTTTCTTTCTTGAGAATTTACAATAAACATATTAAACACTATTTGACTATTTACACAAATCTTTTTATATTTACGGCATTCTAAAAATGTGAACCAACTAATACACTGCAATGTTTATCATTTACCAATTTCTAAAAAAATAAATATGAAAACATTTTTTACTCATAAATCTATAAAAATTTACTAAATTTTAAAAATATGTGAACCAAATATAATGAAATCATTATTCACTATTTTATAAAGTTTAAATCAATTGACAATCAGTGTTTTTCCCAACCATTCCAAAGAACACAATTTGCCACCTTTGCAAATTGCTTTAGTCAAGGTATTTAGTATCCACTCTTCATTTAAGATTTCCTTATCAGTCAGCACTTGGCTGACAATAAATAGTCTATTGGCACATTTTCTAGGTATTTTTAGAAAAATTAGCAATTGTTTTTCATGAGTAGGTAAGGGGGGTAACTGTGCTGGAGTTTTAGGCCTTGAATCTCTATTGATTGGGCATCATTGACCTGAGATAACAATTATAAAAAAAATATTGGAAAATTTAAACAAAAAGTAATCTGAGTTGTAAAATAATTTGAGAAGAAAATGTATAATATCCGGAAAATACAGAAAAGTTCATTTAAATTTTCTTGTTCTATAGTTCATAGATATTTTTTATAAAATTATGAATAAAAAAAAAAAACGTGTTTTCATAGTTATTTATATAAATTATATTGCATTGTACTTGGTTCATATATTTTGAAAATTTTGTATATTTTTACAAATTTTTGAATAAAAAAATTGCTTGTTTCTTTATAAAAGGATAAATAATAAATTTTGTACTGTATTTGGTTCACATATTTTTATAATCTTGAACATTTTCTAGGGTGTCTTGATAGTGTCTATAGTAATAGCAGTGTGAATAGAAAAAAAACATCATTTTGAAACCCTCTTTTTTTTTTTTTTTTTGTTGTAAACTTTACTGAAATGGGCTGGGTTAGAATTAATGCTAATTTTTTTGCTAAGTATGATAGGATCAGTTGGATTATACTTTTAGATATATGATATAGAGGAATATAAATTTGTAAAATTACTAGTTGTAAAGTCAGGTTTGTGTTTTTACATTTCTGTATAGGTAACTGTAGTAATACTCACCCATAATTGTGTAGCATTTGATGGATCTGATTTAAGCATTGTTAGCTGTAACAAGTTTATTCATTTGTTTTGAAGAAGCTAATAATATATTTATTTTTTTAACTTTTTATTGTCAAGAATAATATTGTTTTGAATTATAACCTGTCCTGTTTAAAATAACAAAAATGTTCAATTAATCAGTTTCCTAAATTACTATGTCCTTGTTATTTCCAAGTCTATATAAATGTATATTATTTCCTATAGTAATGTCTATATTTTAGTCTTTTGACCTTAAGAAAGTACTTAAACTTTGGACAGTTTCTTCATGAATCTGGATATGCAGCAACATATATGCAAACTACAAAAATGCAATAAAAAAATTAAATATGAACAGACTTTGTTGGTTGATTTCAATAAAATTTGTTTGAAAAAAAATTATATAATTTTTTTCAAATATTACTCTATCACTTGATCGAATTCTGTATATATTCAAGTATAAAATACAACTCTCACACACACACACACACACACACACATATATATATAAAATATGGGACTGATGTCAAATGAAGTAATGTTAAAATTCTTTAGAATTAAACTGCAAATATTTGATAGTAACATTTATAAAGAATTAATTTCTCAACTTGATCAAGTCTAAGATTTTGAAAATTGTGCAAGAGAATGACTAAAGTTCATGACTAGACAAAAGAATTTCCAAAATTTCTGATGTTTTGTTATTTGGTCAGATTTTTGGAAATTAGTCAAGCTGCGAACTTTCCAACACTCCTTCATTGCTGGTCTCAATATATAAAAAAAATGGCCATAATATCTTCTGCATAAACATTGCATGTAAATGACTAATATGAATGTCTCTAAATCAACTGGCTGACTTACTCATTTCATTTAGCATGAATAGATGTTCCGTGTCTAGTTATTTCACTTCCAGCATGGTTACCCTTCAGAACCCTTGGCACTGATTGCATGTGCCTTTGTATTATGTTAGTACAGCTATTTCCAAAATAGCCGACCACCTGTAATATAACACAAGTGCCCCCTATCTGTCTGTCTGCAGGGGTTGATGATGTGATTGGCTCATGCAGCACTTTTCCACGCCAGAAGAAGATACAAGAGCCTGCAAAACGTTCTGCCAGTGAGTCAGATATGAATGGTCATGTTCTAGGTTTGTACTTCTCTTCTTCTGATGCCTACTGCATCATGTCATCTTTCACACTATTTTTTTCCTACATTTTAAAAAAAAAATAAAATCAGACACAACCTGAAGTTTCTTAATTTAGCTTCTTACCAATATTTATAAACTTTGCAAGATTTGATTTAGTTTATGGTAGACTAGATATTACTTCTATTATTTCCATTGGAAGATGTCAAAAAATTTGATGCTTGACCAAATAATAAAGGTGAACTTTCATTCTCTTTATAAATAGTCAACTATTGTCTAGATTCCAATTGAAAATTGATTACTTAATATTTTGCTTTCTTTTCCTTGTCCAATTATTGATTTTAAATTCCATTTCTTACCTCTAACTTCCTTTACTTTTACCAATTAAATTCCTTGAGCTAAACACTGATCTTTTTTGTTTGTTTTTAATGACTTATTTCAATTAATTAAAAGTAAATTATCCTTTCCCCTTGAATGACTTATTTCAAGTGAATATTTAACCAGATTTTTTATGAAGGATTATGTTGGCATAATCACTGCTTATTTAATTTTCTTAAATGCTTAACCCATACTTTATTTCATTGGCTGTTTACTCATTTCAATTTTGCTATCCACATCAATATCTGCATTACAATTTATTCATTCCCATTACCATTTATCAGACATTTCAATAAGCTAATCATTTCTTATCATAGATTCTTCATCTCAATTTTCTCAACATATCATATTGTTTTTTTTTTTATAGAAATATTGAACAAAGATTTTTGCTATTATTTTAATCTGTATTAATTTATAATATTGATATTTAAATGTCTAAAATCAAAATGAAGTAAAATCATTACCTGTTTCTTGTAATTTGATAAAACAAAGTTTTTATTTACATTCTAGGTTCAGATAACAAGATGAAGCTTTTTTTTACAAAAAATCCAGCTGAGCTGAAAGGGGAAATAATCAAAACGACACTTGTAAAAAGTGTCCGAGGCTTTGGCTTCACCATAGTTGGTGGGGACCATTCTGATCAGGAGTTTCTCCAAATCAAAAACGTTGTGCCTAATGGGCCAGCCTACATAGATGGCCAACTGAAAACTGGTAAATATCATAACTTTCTTCTTTTTAGTATTTATTGTATTTTATTGATTTATAACAAAGTCTATTGTCAAGCAATATAATGATGAAATTATAAGAATGGATATTACTTTATTTTTTAATTTTTTTAGTGCTAAAACTGTCAATCATTTTCTTGTTTTTTACAAAGAAAACTGATTTAGAATAATACTTTTGTAAAATCAGTATTAATTTTTAAATTTTATAGGTTTACTAAAACTTGTCATTCATTTTCATTATTTAAGTTTTTTAAAATTTATACTTGACAGTATTAACAAAATCAATATGAAATTAGCAAATGTGATTCACTTAAAATATAAAAATCGATGTAAGCATAATAGAATGTTCCATTTGAAAATTCATTATCAAATATTTTGACACTCAGTTCCTTTTGTTTTTTACAATAATTACTAATATTTTATCTTTGAGAAAAGAAAAAGTTATTGGATTTGTTATTGCTACTATGATAATTTTGTTGATATTTTTATGGTTTTGTTTCATGTTTATAATTAAAAATGAAAATCCACTCTAAAATATTATTGGTTATTCTTTAGCAGTTTCTTTATCAAGAATTTGCAATTTTTTTTTAAAGGTTGAAAAAAAAAAAAAACTTCAGTGTTAAAAATATTCTGTGCTGGATTTTGAAAACTTTTTTATAAAAATGTACAGAAATATAAATTAAGAAAATGGCTTGTAGAGTAGGGTTGCTAAACTTTTCAAATCATCATACAGGGCACTGTGTACAAATTTAAATTAAAATGGTTTCTAATATCCATGTATGGAAAAATGATATGTACATTTTTATGTATCAAGAACAATTTTAGGAAAAAAAAAATGATAGTGGAAATTTAAAAAAAAATATGTGTTTGGTTATATAGTCTAGCCAATTTCATTTAGTTTCTTTTTGTTTATGTTTTTATCACTTTTGTTATTAAATATCCCACATTATGATAATAGAAAATATGCTAAAAAAGGTGAAATGTTGTAAGAACCTGAACATAAATTTACTGTGGATGATCTGGCAATTAAAGCACTTTCTAAACAGTTTCATCTTAATAAATTGCTTGGAGTTAATTAGAGTGGCATTTTTTAAAACAAAATTATGATTTGTTATATTATGGTGAGCAACTAATGCATTTAATGTTGTTTTGTAAAAGATCCCTTTTGTGTTCATATAGTCTCTTATTTAAATTCTTTGAGATTTCTCCTATGTATTCTTTATTACATGTGATAGAGTAATTTCCACCTTTAATTTTAGCTTATTATTTTGCTTTGTATTAAGTCTTTTATTGTTTTAGATATAGTCATGACAATTTTTGTGTTGAGTTTAGATAAATTCTTTTCAATCGTAGTTGTGGTAACTAGTGGGTAGAACAATATTTTAATTCATTGGACTTGTTAGGAAGGACTACTTTTCCTTTTTAAAATATTTTATGAGTTTCTTGTTTTGCATTAATATGAAATAACTAAAGTATTGGAGCTTGAAAGTATTTTCAATGTTTTTCTCCTGTTCATGTAAATAGCCTCAGGGCTGCAAATTTTGAGTGCTCTTAAATATTTCAATGATTATTCTGGATTTTATTTTATTGTTATGATGAGAATAGAAATTTATAAGAAGATTTTTTATTTGTTAAATTTGCCATGGACACTAAGTTTTTTAGGCTATTGTTAATGCTGTTTAACATGATATCTGGGAAAAATAAAGTATTGTTTGCTTCCATTTCATAAGTAAATTCTATCATATGTTTGACTTTAAATAAACTTTAGATAAAAATAAACTAAATGAAATCAGTTAGACTATATACCCAAAAAATATATTAAAAAAAAGGAGAAAATGCATCACATAAAAACTTTTTCCACTTTGTCATAGTTTTTTCCCCTCATATCTACATATGTAAATTTTGATAAAATAATGGGCATGGGACAAATTATTAGAAATTATTTAAATTGGAACAGTGCTTCATATTTCTATCTGAATAACTGGCACCTCTATAGTAGAGACATTTTGTTGTTCTTTTCCTTGGATACAGAATATTTTTAAAGTGCTTCTGTATTAGCAAAAAATATATGAAATGTTGGAAGGAGCTCTTTAAAACCTTTTTGTTTTCTAAGATTAAGTATTCATTACATTACATTCAAATTTTGTTTGCTGCCTGCTTTCATTTTTTTTCAATTCAGATCAATATTATCATTTTGTTTCATTTTCTTCTCTCTCTTTGTGTTCGTTTATTTTATTTATTTTCCTTAGTGTTAGTTTAAATGAATAATCAATTCTTAATGGCTTGCAGACTTGTACATCTCAAATCAGGAAAAAAATGTTTTTTTTTCCCCTTTTGTTTCTCAGAGATACTAAGCTAAACATAATTTGACATCACATTGTGTCTATATACACTGGAACTACTTATACTGCATCATCATGGTGTACTTTCCCATGTAAACTTACATGAACTGCCATCACTAAATATTGATTTTGGTTTACATTTGTTTACTTATCTGTATTTGTTCTGTTCATTGAAGACACTGTTCTATTGTGTGGATGAACATTAATAGTAGGAGAAGCTATTTTCAGGAAATATTTAGTTTCAAGAAGCAATAAAAAATGAAATCAAAAAGTATCTTGTTACATTTCAAACTTAGTCTTTTTACTCTTTATATATAAACTGATTTTCTCAAATATTCTGGTTAGAAATTAATATTGATGGTAGCCAAACTTAAGTATTTCTTTTTCCTGAAAAATTTTTCAATTCAAAGCAAAATCTATGAACCACTGCATATGCCATGTGAACTACAATACAAGCATTGTATAATAATCAGATGTAACACTGAGTGTGCTGTTTGATACAATAGCAGTGTTGTCAATACTGTAATTCATTTCACTTTGGTGAAATATCTAATGGCTGTTCATTCATCATAATAGATTATTGCCTTGTAATTTTATTGCATTTTCTTTCTGAAAGAATCTCTTATCACTCCCTTCAAACAATCCTTTTGTTAAATTCAATTTTAATGAAATTGGAAGGTAAAATCAATATGTTTTTATTTATTACACCTTTATATATATTATTAAAATCACCTGCGTATGTTAATAAATTGTGCCATTGATACTGTGCTTTGTTGTGTTTAAATGAGGAAATCATTTAGTTTTATATAACAATATAAATTATTTTAGCAAAAAATGAACTCATTTTTTCCCATCTGTATCTTTGCTACTTTCTACAGCCTTTTCTATAGTGTTTGCAAATGATTTTTAATTGTTCAATATTTCATTCTTAGAACTTGTGATATTTTATTGCTTTTTGATTTTTTATAAATCACAACTTACATCAGTTTACAGGACTAAATTTTATAAAGTAAAATGTGTATTATCAATTCTATAGAGTAATTAGGTGTATTACCAATTTCACCAAATGCTATGCTTAAAATATGAATATGAAATAACAACATTACAAATTTCTTTGTCTGCTTTTCCAATTTTAGGAGATTTCATAACTATGCAAGAAAGTTTATAAGATAAAAAATAATGAAAATCAAGAACTACACAAAACAATTTTTATGCACACTTGGGATGTTTCTTCTATATGCTGTGTCACATGAGGAGATGGATGATCATTGCTCTCTTTTCTATCTCTCACCTTGGAATATATAGGCTAATTTTAACTTTGATTTTTTTCTGATTATACAAAACTAATAAATAAAGAATTTCAGAAAAAATTGTTTTTGTCAGCCAAATAATCAAACAAAACAAAGTATGGTACTAGTAGGATTTGAATTTGAAAGATAAATTTATAGTTATTACATTTTTACCAATGGCACCATTTCTTTTTCTTACTTTTACCTTTTTTTCATAACTCAGTTCATCTAAAATAAGATCTTTAGCAAAATGTATAAAAAGTATACAAGGTTTTGTTGAGATCAGTAAAAGGATATTAGTAAATAAATGAAAATATCTCATAAGAGTGTGTAGAAAAACACATTTATTTTCTATGCTATACATATTACTACTTATATTGGTATTTGTTTTACAATCCCAATAATTTTAACCTGGTTCTTAAAGTTTTCATATTTCCTTTTTTTACAGGTGACATTCTTGTTTATGTAAATGAGAAATGTGTTCTTGGTTACACACATCAGGATGTCATTCTACTTTTTCAAGCAATTCTCCCAGGAGATGAAGTGATCCTTACAGTGTGCCGTGGGTACACACTTCCCTTTGATCCTGATGATCCAAATACAGAAATTGTCACAAGAGTTGCTGTTTCTCTTCCTTCAGAGAGTGGTACTACTAATGTTGGGCCCTCCAATTCACTTGGCTATGGCAATGGAAGTAACCTGGATCAGCTGAACACATCTCAGAAAAGCCTAAAATCTCTTCCTGATCTGGCTCGTTCTACAACTGACAATAATTCAAATCTGAGCTCCTCCCAAAGAAGTCAGAGTGGGGATTTACTTAACTCTGACAACACTCCTGATGTACTAATTCCCAACAGTAACAAGCCAGAAATTCTGGTAGTGAACATTGTACGTGGTGCAATGGGATTTGGATTTACCATAGCAGACAGCTCATATGGCCAAAGAGTTAAACAGATACTTGACAAGACTCGATGTAAGAATCTAATGGAAGGAGATGTCTTGTTAGAAATTAACAATAATAATGTAAAGGACATGTCACATGCAGAGGTTGTTCAAGTGCTTAAGGACTGTCCAAAAGGAGATGAAACCACAATTGTTGTTCAGAGAGGAGGTAAGAGCTTAAATAGAAAATATTTTTCTTTCTGATTTTTGGCGTTAAGTTTATCCTGCATGTATGTGTGTGTTTTTGAAGGACTCCTGTTTTTATAGGCTTATGAATTTAGTTTTGTAACTGTTGTGGAATCTGAGATGAAATCCGGTCTCAAATGAATGACAAACGCAGGAATGAAATATAGCAAATAAATGTATTGACGTAATAATACAATTGGTAATACGGTTAGTAGATCCAGAAATGCGGTTAGTAGCAATAAGAATATATATACAGTCTGGGAAATTCAGTATCGAAGTATGACTTCCTTCTGAGTCTACGTGCTCGCAACTGTGACTCCTAAAAGTGGTTACCTCACACTCTCACTCTCTCACTTCCGGTTATTCACCGGCAGCAGTACAAGTACACACTGGGCGAGTCCACTTGTATGAAAAGGGGTGGACCCCTTAACACTAACAATACAGTATGTCAGATTATTTTGTTAAAGAAACATTGGCTAGAAAGGAGGAAAGAAAATAGTTTTCTCTTATTTGTAAATTGTAAAGGATAATATTATTGATAGCAAATTCATTAACTAAATTTCTTGAATAGGGATTTCACTATTTTACATGTACAAAAAGTAGTTTAAAAAAATATTACATGCCTATACAGAAGTAGATGTACAAGAAACTGAATTTAGTTTTAAAATACAATTTATACTTTTAAAAATGTAAAAATTGCAATAATGACTCTCTCTCTCTATATATATATATATATATATATATATATATATATATATATATATATATAAAGAAATATAGTCTTAAAATGTGCTATATTTATGGGATAAAGTTCAATATCAGAGATAGGCGTGTGTAAATATAAAAGTGAACATAAAAGTCAACACTTAGAGGCAACAGTCTGTTTCATGCTACATGCAATCGTGGCCTGATGATTGCATCTAGCATGAAACAGACTGTCACCTCTAAGTGTTGACTTCATATGTTCACTATATATATATATATATATATATATATATATATTATTTGTAACATTTAAATGAGAACACTCAAATAAGACTGAATCTGTGAAACTTTTTTTTTTAAATTTTATTATGAATTATGCTGGGAATGATAACTATCAAAATTGTGTAAATCTGATAATATACCCACAAAATAAGAATGAAAAAAAAATATGACTTTGAAATTCATATGCTTAATTATCAACTGATTTCAAAGCAAATTTTGATGCTTAGTGGATCAAGCATCACACATGTAGGTCATCAAGTTTAAGGGTTATTTCTTGTTAATTTTTTTTACCTTAAACTATGAATAAGATTAATGCAGGAAAAATTTATGTGGTTATTAAAAAGAATTAAATCTGTTTTTGTAATATAATGTAAAGATTGTTAACAACTTTTTTCACTGTTGTGTCCCTTCAGGGTGTAGACAATCCTTTTATCTGTGAATTGGCATGTATTCTTAGGAAAAACAGTAGTTTCCTCTTCCCTTTTCTAAGGTTTGGAATTCAGTTTTCCTTCTCTTAGATTGGTTATCACCTAAGGCTAGAAAGTCTAGTTTACTCTGCTATTTAATCCATAACATGGATTAATACCTTTCCCAAGGGCATTTGTGCAAAAGGGAATTAAACTGACTAACCTGGAATTTGAATTCTGCTTGCCCATTCCACTTTTCATATTGATACTCATTGCCCTACCTACACATTCCAATAATACTTCCGTTTTCACACTATTTTTTGTGTATCATTAAAACCTGATATTTTTTGTAATCATCAGTTTCAAAATATCTTTTTTAATATCAATAAAAAGTAATGTGGCAGTTTTCTCTATAGTTTGTGTAAATAAATTCTATTGATTTTATGTGAATAGAATGGAAAACGAAATTTTAAAAAGAAAAGACATTCCTTGTATTTTTTCTTTTGTATTTTGGCTGGGTGTGTCTATTCTGTACAACATCTGAATTATTTACTATTGCTTAGTTTAATGGAGGGCACTAAGTCTGGATCAAACTCATTGCATCAAACAAATTCAATCTGATGTAAGTTCTCAATAGCAGAGTAACCAATGCAGTCTGAATGTAATGACTTTATTAACCACGGCACCAAGACAGGATAATTTCACTCCCAACTGCATTACTTCATTACTGTTCCTTTTGAAAAGAACAAATTCCAGGTTTTTGGCTCTTTCTTTTGTCTATTATCTATAGGAAAAAAAAGTAAGGTTACTATTGTTTGTCCCCATTATAAATGCAAGTTATAATTCCTCTATGGATTGATGCTTATTTTTTGAAAATGCAGGAAAACTAAAAGTATAGTAAGACATACAAACATCTATATAACTGCCCTAATATTAATACTGACCTAAAAAGGATCTTGAAAAGAAATAAAAAAACTTGAAATAGTATTTTGTTTTAGAATTATATTTTTATAAATACTAAGATGTAAGTTGTTTTGTTCCTCCTCTTTTGTTTTTTGTTAAACAATGAATAGAGAAAGAAACAGTCTATTCCTTATTTAAATTTACTTTTTCCTGACTCATAATGGTATTGTTATCTTCTCAACTTTTGGACATTGTCTCAGCACTCTGCTAGATTATTGTGTTTGCAGTTATTAAATGCAATGTTGATTGATCAGAATGAAAAAGAGACAAATCAAATAATTATTTGATCAATATAACTTTCAGCTAAACTTATTTCTCTCTTCTGTTCTAAATCTGAATTTCATTCATGTGATGTTTGAAAACAAAATAAAATTAATTTATACAACTTGAATTTTTCACTGTTTATAAAAGATCAGTTGTTTTTTCTCTTTCTATATTTAAAGAAAAGTTGTGCCAAATTTTTTCTACTTTCATGAAATTTCAATTTTAATAATCTGATTATTTATTGCTGCATCCTTATATAGATTTTAAATTTGTTAAAAATGTTTTTGCTGATATTTTTTATTTAAAAAGTTATGTCTTATATTTTTAATAGTTTTTTTTAGATTTTTGTGAATTTTATATTTAACTTAGTCATCATCAATTAGAATTTTATTAACATTATATGAGATGTGCTGAAAATTTTTAAGTGACTATATCGGTGTCTCACAAAATAGTTTAGTAGATTGTCTCAGGGATGAGGAGTTTTTAGGACAATCACACTATGTACAATTTTAGAATTATTTTTATCAATTCTACATTTGAATCTAGAGTGAAATTCAGAAATGTTATCAGATCTATAACATATAATATATGTATATTTATCAGACACTTTATTTTGTTTTCACACACACACACACACACACACATTGATGTTTTAATTATTAAGAATGAAATAAAGTAAAATTTAATTGATTTTAATGAGTTGTATCTTTGCTTTCTTTTTTTTCACTTGAGGTTGATGTTCTTTTTGTCTCCTGTGTTTCAATACAAATTTAATGTAGGAAGATAATAATAATACTGATGTTAGTAAGATATATTGTTATTTGGTGAGATATTCTAAGAAAAAGGAATATTTCACCAAAACATCTTCCATTAAAAGTGAGAAGAATGATTAATTGGAATTAATTCCATTAATAAAATAGTCCTCTCAAATTTGGTGCTGTTCTTTAGAGCCATAAAAAAGCAATAATGAAACTGCAATGTTGACACCTCAATTATTTGATTTTATGACAATTGAATAAAACAACTATGGCACTGTACATTTCTCACCAACTGATCCAAACCCTCAAATGTGTCTTACAATTTTTCAGGAAGGTTTTTGAAGCCATATTCTACTGTTTCATCATTATTTCTCATGATTCTTATTTTCATATATTGCAAAATACATGTACACATCTGTATTGCAACAATCGAGTTGTGAATGTTGATTTAATGTATATTTATAAATCTGAACAAGTAAACCAATAAGTTTTAAGTGGCTTTCAACAGTATCTTGTAAGATTTAATATCAGACTCTTCATCTAAATTGATATTTCTGAAAACTCCTTATTTGTTAATATGTACAGACAAAACGGAAACTGCTAAACCAAGCTGATAATTTAGCTTGTAATTCATGTTTCTCTGTCTAAGTCGAAACAGTCTATTCTGATGTCTTACAGAGGGAACTTCATCTGACATTGCCCATATTAAATGCTATCATGCATGTTTCTCATCATACTATTTTTACCTTTTCTTATTCTCTTCCTTCTCTTCATCTTCTTGTTGCTACTTTTAATCAAAACATCTTTGCATGCAGCATTAAACTATATGTAGTCATAAAATAAAGCAACTTTTACCATCTTTGTTTTGATATATTTTATTTAATTTTATTTTTTATATTTTTACACAGTGAAACTATTTTCATGTATTTTATTTTCCTTTTTTTTCAATTTTTGACCAGCAGTATCATGAAAATTATTTTTTAAATTCATATTAAATTACCAAATTTCCATTTCCTATTTCTTCACATATTTTTAATCAGAATGCACATTAATGCTATGAAGAAGCATATTCAAATTAGTATTTTAATCTAGATTCAATAACTACTAATCATTTTAAAATCCATCTGAATGTTAAATAGAGCTCTGATTTAATATACTAAAAAAGGTGCTTTACTTATCTATTTGTCTATTTGTGCTTAAACCATTTATGATCATTCAAAACATCAAGTATTCCTAAACACCTTGTTATAAATATTAAAAGTTACTAATATATTTCAACTTTAGGTTTAAAAAGAGGGGAACTCATCTTTATGGATAATATCTGAACTAGCTTATAAATGAATTAAAATTTATATTAAAAATCTCAACTGAATTTCATTAAATTCTGACACACAATCTAAATTCATTTTATGTATTTTTTTATAGCATTTTTATGCAATTCATTCCACTAATAAATATCACTATGTCTTAAATATTAAAACTGTCAATAAAAATGAATTTCCCAAGTGCATCAAAATATTTTAACTATAGATATAGAGTAAATATTGTTGGCATTCTTATAGAAAGTATATAAGCTAGTCAAAAAACAACTCCTGACTCACACACACACTCTTTTTTTTTTTTTTTTTTTTTTTTTAAATTTTTTAGTGAATGTAATGTGTTACTGCTTTAAAGGTTTTCTTAATAGACATCTTTTAATAGACTGGATATATAAATAAAACTGATTATGCCATTAAATTTTAAGTAGTTTCATTGATATCTATATTTTATGCAGTACCTTTTCTAAGATAAGGAACTTGTATAGTAATTAATAGGTTACAGATCTTTTTTTTCTAATATCTTATAGAAATGTCAGAGTATAAATAAGTATTCGACATTCTTTCTGCTAGTATGTTTTAGACATAAGCATTCATTATATGGTATTTCTTTTTTCAAAGATTTGGAATCTTAATCTTACAGCCAAATTTAAAGAAAAAAGAAAATACCTAAACAAAACTAGTTTTGTTCATAAATAACCTTCATTATAAACTGTCTACCACTGTTTATTTTAGTCCAATCCAATCTATGGGCCACTTATTCCCAAGATGAGTTGATCAATGCAAGTTAGTTTGCAGTTGGTCTCTGTGTGTTGTGCCTGCTGATGTCTTCCTGGCTGTCCAGTTTGCCTTGTGTAGCATTCATTCTGGTAACCTGAGTAAAAGACAAAATGTAAAACAGATTTTACTAGCAGCAGCTGTTTTTGTTAACAATTTACCTTCATCTTGAGATGGCTAAGTACTAAAACGCTTGTCATTCAAAATTACTCATTTTTGATTAAGCTTATGCTCAACTTGTCTAATTTTTAAGTGAATTTATTCTGAATGGAAAACTTAATTCTCTATCAGCGCACACTCAGTAACTTTGCTGCAGATGTTGGTACAGGTTTTGTTGATTTTACTCGAACTCTAGGAAGAGTTTTCAGGCGCAGTAAGTAAGAGTTTTCAGGTGCATATTGTTTGTGCATATTTTCTTTTAATTTTCACATTTTATTTATGTATTTAAAATGTACTTCAGTTACTGTTTCTGCATTGAACTAATTTTAGCAAAGTTGCATTTAGTTCAAATTTCAAGTATCTTTTCAAAATTGAAAAAACTTTTTTTTTCTTTTTGAGTTTTGTTAAAGATTATTTAAGTTAAGAATGTTAATTTCTTTTTGAAGAAATTTAAGAGATTTATACATATTTTATATGAAGTGTTTATCTGGAATTCTACTTTGAATCAAAACTATTTATAGGCAAGGTTTTTCAACAGAGGAAAAAAATTAAAACCATGAATATCCAAATAACAATTTTTCCTAGTATTGACTATAAATTCTCAAAATTAAAAGACACATTATTATGAGAAAGAATTTCTTTTCCATATTGATTATTCAAAAGCAGTGTTATGCATGTTATATGGAATTTCCTATTTATACAATTAAAGAGATTTTATTCTTAATCCAAGCCATAGGTCTCCTTTCTTTTTAAATTGTTCACCCAATACAGACCCATAAAAGCTTACTGATTGAGATTGATGCATGTAAGAGGAGGAGGTAAGAAATGTCATTTAAGAGGATATATAACAGTTAACATTAAACTTAAAAAGGTTAAGATTGTAGTGATCAGGGAAGCATCCTCTTGGGAGTCTGTTCTTGGGAAGAAACTGTTCCTTTTTACTAACAGAATACAAAATGAATTAAAATGATTCATTCCTGTGTATAAAGCATGACATTTAGATCTATTTAGGTATGATCAGACTCTTCTTAGAGTTATACTCTTGGTTAGGACTTTATTTTTTAATATTCTACAGCATTTATTTCTCAATATGTCTTATAAATAATTTAACTTTTGAAATTTTATAATAAAATTTTATTTACATCAAACATTTAATAATGTATGTAAATTTAAAATATTTTCATATTTTTGTTGTATATATGTATATTTTCACAAACTTTTTGTCCACAAAGGACATGACATCTTAAAATGAAGCCCTGTTAGATTAATTTTATGAAACACTGAGAAGATTGCATTTTTTTTAAGTTTGAAAATTTAACATATGAGGATTTATTGTGAACTTTATTTTAGAATACACTTTTCTATGGATGTTTCAGTCTGAATTGGTAAAGAAAATATCATTAGTAGTTTGAAGAAACTTAAAATACACTTAGTTTCTATGTTTAGGGCTAATAAATTCTTAGTACATCTTATAAATTCAGTTTGTGATTATTTGTATACTTTGATTTTATTAGGTATTTCTTCTCCTGGAAAATCGAGAAGACAAGCAAAATTGGTAAGTTATTTTTATTTTCTTTTTTATTGAAAGAATCTCATTATCTATAAATATCTAAATTATTTAAAACATCTTAAATAATCTAATATTTCTTTTCAATTATTTGTATTTATTTTTTAAAGGACATTTACATATATATCTTAAATAGTCACCATTTTTAATTTGGGTTAATTTTTTTAAAACACTTTCATGACCTTTGTGATTACCTGTACAAATTCCTTCTTAAATGAAAATTTAATCTTTAAATGCAGTCCCTTATTGTGTATATATATATATATATATATATATATATATATATATATATATATAAACATGGAAATAAAAAATTAATAGTATATAAAGCTGCTTGAAAATGATTCTTTTAAGAAACAATATTTAGAAGAATAAAAAAAATAATCATGTTTATATTGCAAAAACATTTTCATGCAAGATAGTAATTATTGTATATTGATTAAAAAATAACTTAAATTGTTTATGGCAATTTATTTTATCCTCTATCTTACACATAAACAAAGTAACTTTTTCATGTAAATTTTAAGTGTTTTTGCTTATGAAAAAATTGTCTGTAAGTATATACTCTTTTGAAAAAAAATCCAGATGATTTTTTATTATAAGGAAACCTTTACAGTATAAATTTACTTTATATCTACAATACTTATTTATTTTAATAGCTCACTAACAACTTTTGCATCTTCATTTTTAAATATGATTGCACTAGTTAGAATATTTTTCTATTAAAATTTAACCATAGTCACTTCTTAGTTTTAGAATGACCTAAATTCTTGAAAAATAACATACTCATGGGCATGCAGTTACAAAGATGATTTTTGTATTCTGAAGGTCAGAAAGTGTGTGGTTCATCTTGACAGTTAAGTCTTTCATGAATTTATATAAAAAGAAAAGAGAACTGATTCCTTACTTAGTCCTATGTACATTGACAGAGTTTACTTTGTGTTCACCTGCAAGTTGTGATAAACTAAAGAGTTGGTAAGATTTTACAAAATAATAAAGCCAATCTTTATT